TATCATAAATAGTGATTATTTTGTGTTAGCTTTGTTCGGAAAAAATTATTCTTAGTCAACTAACAATTCCAGAAGCCAACTTGCTATTTTGGATAGAGCAAGAGATATTATTATTCGGCTTGAGTCATATTAAAGATATATCATTTACACACTTTGCTAATTATCCTTCTCAAGATCCCCGATGAATGAATGTACAGCTAGCACCACTCACAGTTTCTAAATACTGTTTGTTTGGTAATTTTTCCAGATGAAATTTCATGTTCACAGTAGTATTCGGTGTCACTTCCTCTAGAAAAATATAAACGACTACTGTAGATATATACGAAAGTTTAATTGCTAAATAAATAGTCAGTGGAGTGTAAAATGTCTGCGTAGGATGCTATAGTATTCTAATTGACGTATGAATTAGGAATTCCAGGATTAACGCAATTGAATTAAGAAGACACAGGCACAACGAATGTACTGTATTTAGAATTCGAAATCAAACATTCGACCAGTACAAAGGTATCATTAGTCCATTCAATCACCACATCCGCCACAGCTTAAATAGAAGTATAAGTGTTTGTAATCGGTTGTACGTCTTCTTGTCAAGTTCATCCTGAGTCTGTCCGACATTGTATAAGATAAAAACTTTGTAGTATCTAGAAAGTGCTCATTAATATTGGAATTAACAAACGAAATCGGAACAGACTCACCTGGAATTGTATACAACCAGCATGTCGGTTTTGTAATGAAATCATTAATATCTAGAATTCGGACCATAGATTTTTCAACACTATCCTCCCCCACGAAATAATGTTGTATCTTTATATCCCCAGGTTATGAATAATGTGGCTTCATTTAAAACATATTTCTCACATTGTTTAGAGTAAACATTAGAACTGTTTTTGTGATAAGGGTAAACAGCAGTTGATATGAAATCATCTGTAATGTAATCAAACTCGAGAACACTTAGTACTCGTGCTTCGCATTGAGCAGGTTTTTCACAAGGATCGAATGCATTATGAGGAGAGGTAATATATGATATGACATCAGGATTTGATTCTTCTGAAATATTCTCATGAAATTCATTAGGACTGTCATTGCACAGCGTAGGATCGTTAGAAAAACCAGCATCTATCCAAACCACATCAGCTTTCCGATCACGATTAGGTTCATTTAACATATTTTCCTCAATATTGCAAGTAATTTCATTAGAAATATGTGAATCATTAGGAAAAGTCATACCTGGTACAATAGCATGAGAATTCTGGTAAATCGGTTGATTATGAACTGTTGTCTCACAAGAATTCTGGATTTCATCTAACTCTGAACTGCCATATGACTCTGCACTGTCTTTTGAAATCGTTGATAAAGATAAATGATCATTAGAAACATCCGAATTATTGAAATTTAAATTACGAGATTTAGTACAGCTTGAAGCAAAATGGACGGTAGCTTTGCATACTGACTGAATGTGTCTTACCTTACCACATTTAAAACATTTAGCATTACGAAATACACATGGATTGCGAGCATGAAACTTTCCACATGATAAACATTTACCAAACTTCATCTCACCTTTTTGATTTGCTTTGTAATCCCTTGTTGAAACACCTTTCATATTTACACGAGAATAGGATTCACCGTTAAATGAACGCAAGTTTGATTGACCCTGAGATTGTAGTTCATCAGGACGACTAAGCAAAGTATT